TATTCTATTTTAGTAAATATAAACATTTTACTTTGTTTTCATTCTTTGATTCTATTTTAGGAAAAATAAACATTTTACTTTGTTTTTATTCTTTGATTCTATTTTAGTAAAATTAAACATTTTAACAGAATCTCTCTCTTCGGTCGGAGCTTTACCTCCAGGTCGTCCTCCACCACCACCACAGAGGAGTAGGACAGGTTTCTGAAGACCTGGTTCAGGGCCCAGCGGTAGTGTCTGGAGATCTTGTAGTAGCCCTGGAACTTCTTGTGCTCGGGCCGGACCGGGACGTCGGACAGGTCCGGCTGGCTCAGGTGGGTCACCTTGTCCCCGTAGGAGCGTATCACCTGGGCGGTCTCGGCGTGCCCGCAGTCCTGGCTCACCAGGATGGGGTGCAGGTCCGCGGAGGGCCGGTGCTGGATCAGCTTGTCCACGCAGCGCTTCACGGTGACCCGGTTACAGGCCATCACCAGGATGGGGATGACGGGTGGGCTCGGGGGGCGGACCTTCCGGTCCTTGGGTTTCCACAGAGACCAGTCGTTCAGGATCTGGGACAGGATGTCTTTCTGCTTCCGCAGCTCGGACTCGAAGGTGTCGGCAATCCGGTTCAGGTCGTCCACCATGTCGCCTGTGGGGTTTTGAGCCACGCCCCCCTGCACCTGGCCCGGCTGGCCCTGCTGGCCCGGCTGGGCCCGGCCCAGCAGCAGCAGCACCAGGACCGCGTTCCAGGTGACAAACAGGAAGGCCACGCAGCAAATCAGGGAGACTCTCTTTCGGATCATGGCCCAGAGGAACAGGGCCGGGCCGGAACAGACGAAGGTGTCCTGTTTACAGACAAAAGGATCGGGTTCTGGGAGGGCCTGCCCCGGTCCAGTTTCATCACAAACAGTCAGGTCTGGCCCAGGTGCAGCTGGTTACCTTAATGAGACCTGGCTCCGTCTGTGGGGCGGAACTGGACTCATCCTCACAGGAAAAGTTCTGGTTCTGGCAGAACCTCAGCTCTGAAAACAAGTTTTTACCTGAAACACAAAAACAACAAACAAATAAATAAACAAATCAATAAAAAACAAATAAAAACAGCTGTTTTCACTTGGTTCTGGTTTCTTTAAATCACCTGTAGCTGCCGGGTCACAAGAACCGAACCGGGTCGGTGTGTGAGCCCTGCAGTCCCACCCCACACACACACACACGTTTGTTTCTTGACCCCGTGGGGACCTTCCATTGACTTCCATTCATGTTTTTTAGACTTTATATCCTAACCCTGACCATATACTCTAAAATTAACCTCACAGAAACTTACCTGACCCTAAAACTAACCTAAACCTTGGTCCTGAACCTGACCCCACACCTGGAACATGACTTTGGACCCACAGGGACCTGACAGTGGTCCCCACGATTCACTTCGGTCCCCACCTGGCTGCTTTTTTTTTTGGTAAAAAATACCCCGTTGTAGGAAAAACACACACACACACACACACACACACACACACAC